TGAGGACTCACACTTCCTAGTTGCAGAGACACTTTAATTTTATTACGGCATATTTGAATTGTGCGGAATTTTACTCACTTACCCTCATAAGAATTAATTGTTAAATCGGCGACGGTTAATTAGCGAAAATTAACTACTGTGGGAATTGAAACCTGTATACGGATTATTTCCCTATAAATAGTGTTATTACTGGACGTCATTGGTCTCATCGATCATGGCATGAGAGCATTTCTTATTACCGATTTATTTTACGGTTACAAATAAGAAGATTCAGCTTGTATTCCATATTACAAATTCTTACTATGCCGTCTGAACTCAACAAATATATAGGACCGGGCGCTAGATAAACTTGAGTGTGCAAAATATGAGGACCGCATTCTGTAAATAGTTTTGAACTCTGAAAAGCTTGCAGAATATAATTCTGGATGTTGCCAGCAGCTTTGTTGGTCCAATTATTTTTTATACCCCACCTCTTTAGATATCAAGTAAATAGACTGAACAAATTATGAAGTATTTTAATGACAATATCCAATTGCTTCTTATGTTTAAAGATTAACATAGCTAGTCAATTGTTACAACAATATAAAATAATTGAAATAAAAACAAGAACTGTTGACAAAAAAATTATTTCATACGAAAAAGCAAATGTTAACATAAGTTATCAAAAAAGCAAAAGAGCTTGCAGCTTGTAATTTTCGAAAAAATACGACAAATGTTTTCGCCAAGGGATTGAGCAGCCAAATGACATTCTGAAATGTATTTCCTCTTATATAAGTCATAAGAGCATTCAAACTATACACCTAAACAACCTAGACGAGCTAGCTTCTTCCAGAAATAGATTCCTAGGATGAAACCATCTGTATCAGGCTAAGGATTATGATGTGAGCAGATTGGGTTTTTACTGCGTGAAATATGTTATAAAACATCCCTGAATCGGCTTCTAAATGGTTCGAGTTCAAGTCAGGTACTTCAAATTATGAAGAGCCTTGAAACATTTCGTTGGATCATCAAATCCTCCACAGATATAGATCGCGATCTTCTTGTACTTGTGTATATCTAGGAGTGGCAGTACAGAGCATTCGAACGAGCTGTATCTAATTTATTTTCAGGTTTTTACAATTTTTGCATTTTTGTGCGATCATTTGAAATTATCAAATTTTTAATCTTTTGACCTTTACTACGTACCTAAGGTTGACTCTAAAGTTTTTATCGAAATATCATCAATTCGTCTTATTATATTTAGCTGCAACAAAAGGTTACAGATTTTTTTGAAGAATGCCTCAGAAAATCACCAAAGGTGTTGAACTTTTTTTAATTGAATTCAATGAACAAGTGCCATTCCATTAACAATATTAATTTTTGTAGTATTCAAATTTAAAACGTCCTCTGTCGCGTGTTTGTGGTTATTTTCAATTTCGAGAGCGAGTTCCCATTTTGAAAATTTCCTGTAACATCCTTCTGCGTCCAAATTTTATATTTTAAAGCTATATTATCATATTTGTTGCTGCTATATTTCGTCTTCCTTGTAATTACTTGTGAGTTTGCGTTATATTTATATATTATTTTTATTGACGTGTAAATAATTGTTATTGCAATTTCTTTTGCAAATATATGATGTGCTTGATATGATATCTAACAAGGACAATGTCGACCCTCTTTTCACATTTTCTCATATCGATATATTTGCATTTTTTGGAAGATTATTGATTTTTCTCGTGTACCTATTTAATTTATGAATTCTTTATTCATCATTTCTGTTTTATTTCATTTGCCAAACTTTAATTATGGTTAATCATTAAAAAAAAACAATAATTGTCACAAAATTATCATCAGGATAGAAATATAACATGCACTCAGGCAACTTACTCTCGGTGCAAGAGGAGGGGGTATAACACAAAATTGGACCAAGAGGTGTTCCGGCAACATCCTTAATCTACAAGCTTTTCTGAACTGGGATCAATTGGCAGAATGCGGTCCTCGGTTTTTGCACACTCAAATCCATCCAGCGCCTGCACTAATAGCTGGAATTCAAAAAATGGTGAAAGACCTGGTGCAATTAATATCTTCCTTTACTTTTGATGCACCCAAGACTGTGTTGCCGATCTGTTGAGACACAATCAGAACTGGACTGTTTCTAGGCAACCAAGACGATAGACTATAGTGCACTATTTAGCTTTTAGAAGCAGGGAAGGGTATGTAACCTAACTCTTTTTCCTGTAAAGCCAAACACCATGGTTTGTCGCATACCAACTAGGTAAAGTAATTACTGATGCAGCTTCATTTTTAAAACACATGTGAAAACCCTGATACTCCGTTACCCGTAGCGACCTTTTCCCAAGCACTTTCTATTAACTTCCCTAATTGATCTCGTCCAATTTTTCTACGAGTATTATCATTTTCTAACAAACGATTCAGCTTCTTGTCTGAAATAGTCTTTAAGAGGTTTTAAAAAGGACCTGTTTAGCAGCTGTAATGCTTGACTCGTATGATTTAGGGGCAGTTTTGTATATAATGCAGTTTCAATGTTAAATATAATTCATCCATACTTAGATTGTCCAATTGAAAAATTTAAAAATATTATATTAAGCATACAAATTTAATTTTTTAATGGTTATGTGTTGTTTTACACCAAAATGTTCTTTTCATGAATTATTGTTAGCCACAACTTCGTTTAACTTTTACATTGTTTTTGTTTATTTATAAACATTTAGTTGAATTGTATGTATAATTATGTATATGTCCGAAATGGTTAATTTGGTAGGGTGGAAGATCGCTCCTGAGCGAACCCTGTACCATTTGTGAGATTTAGCGTCAGTTCGAGCATTTCAATATTGTTGGTATGAGATGCATGGTCATCTAATATTAAAAGAACTTTTCCTTCCTCTTTTCGTGGTATGAAATGCTCCTTTAGCCATTTCATAAAAAGGTATGATTTTTCAACTGAAGTCGATACGTGGACATCTTTACTGCCTTTAGTGGCTATCACCTTTCCTGGCTTGCTATTTAGCTGTATTCCACTTTCGTCCATATTATTGTAACGGAAATGCTCCAGACATGACGTCGCCTTTGGCGCTCTGGAATTTTCTACGCGCGCGATAGTGGGCTTTGTGTAGGAATATTCGAGAATGTACGCGGATGTTCGGGACTTACATTGCTTGCGTGTATAAATGGTTGCGGACCGAACATCGCGCGAGTTTTACTACCGAACGAGATCGGGCGTGGAAATATAAATTGCGAAGTGTGTGATATAAATATCGATATAAATTGTACGGTTTTTATAGTGTTTTAGTTTTGTTTAATAAATATTGATATAAATCGAACCCGAATTTATAAATCACGTTACATTATATATTCGATTTGGTTTATCCTTTAAATCATGATCGTCTAAAATTTTTCCCAACAAATTATAAAACCCGTCAGCGACACATCCCTTTGGCGCGAGCAAGAGACAACCCTTCACTCTGTCTCACACTTAAGTCAGTATTTCGTTCGAGAAATGAATAAAAAGGTTTTCCTTGCCCAGTCGCTTATAGCAAACTGATAAGCCAATCTTCGAACACTGAATCTGCTAGGAGCAAATCCAGCCTTTTCTAGCTTCTTTATGTGGGCCACTAAACGTCGCTTTCAAAACCTAATGCAGGCGGCTTTCCTAATGACCCTTTTGTTTGATTTCGTCTTCTCCGTAGAGTGCGTGATGGAATTGGAAAGGCTCTTACCGTTTCATTGACACCCATGGCTTTCTTATCGCCGATTGTAATTCTTCTTCCGACCATTCAGCTCGAGGTTTAGCATTACTTTTCCTCTGGTATTTTCGAGGCATTTCCTAAAATATCGCGGTGGTTAATTAATCTGATATGGGTAAGTTGTAAACGGGTCACTTAAAAGTAGCGGCCATGTATTCCCATACTAGGGTGGGGTGCATTCAAAATTTGTATGGGATAAAGGCCCTACTTTTTAATTGAAGTTTGAATTGCAACAGACGATATTTACCGATTAAAACATTTAGGCTACGTTATGGTTCATAATATAAATAAAAGCACACCTTTTGGTAAAAAATGTTGTAACTTTGTCCATAAAGTACTTGACTGATTTACCATGTAATGAAATTGTTTACCTACTTACTAATACAGGCCATTTGTGCTCAAACGGGCATCTAGCGGGAAAGTTGTGGGGTAGTTTTGATTTCTTTGATGCTATATGTTTTTTGGAGTGCTGAATCCGAATCTGAGGTTTGCCAACGAAATTTCATGACGCAACATTGAAAAAATACAAAAGAAGTAGAAAAAGATCTTTTTTTGGCAGTTTTGTGCTTACAACTTGAAAACTATCAACTTTTTGAAAATAACCCTCCTATTCAAAATGAAAGTAGATAAAATTTCCTACAGATTCCGCTATTTAGTTTTTTTCCTCTTTTATCATTTGAATTTTTTTAATTAATAATGACCATAGCGCCACTTTTCCAAATTCAACAATAATTATTGAAACATGCTACGGTAGGGTCTTGTAATTTCTTTATTTGGTTCGGAAGAGAGTGGGAATAGTTTTAGATAGCACAGTATAAGTATTATATATTATAAATAATATAATAATATGATATACTGTTTTTCGTTAGAAATTAACTTTTCATACAATTCTGGGCTACAATAAACACTTTGAACGTTATGTAAATGAAAAAAATCACCCTTACATATACAGTTCAAATAATAGTAGGTAAATGCAAGGAATTCACTTATTGACGACCCTTAATATTAATTTAGGGTTTTTGTGTGAAAAAACTGTTTTAGGCTCGTTTGACACGTTACAATTTTTAAAACAGAAAATTGTTAACAAAATATAGCACAAAAACTTGAAGTAAAATTTTTTTGTAAAATTATTGAAGCTGTATGTCACGTAAAAAAATCTTGTACAAAAGGTAGACAGAAATTTAAAAATTGGGCATGCGTAATTAAATATTGTATTCTATGATCCAGGGAAACATGTATTCTATGGTAGATGTTTCGTCTTTGCAACGTATACTATAACCTCAATTTAATTTTTATTTTTTAGCAAAGTGGTGTTACTGCGATTCAGAGAATGGACAATGATATGCTATATATTTATAGTGCCGCGTGTATTTCGGTGTTACTTATATTACTGAATAGAAACAAAACTACACGTAGGAGATGCAATCGTAAATTATGGAGTAGAGCTTGGTTAGAAAGAAGAAATCGAGATCAAGGTGTTTTAAGTTTACTTAATCGAGAATTGAAATTTGAGGACCCCCATTTCTACAGAAATTTTTTGCGTTTACAAGATACACAATTTGATGAAATTCTTAAGTTGATAACGAAACTAATCTCCAAATCGAATACGTTTATGAGAGACAGTATCCCCGCACAAAGCAAGTAAATATATTGTGTTGCAGTATGTCATAGTCTTGATGTTACTTTATTTTTAGATTAGAGGTAACTTTAAGATTCTTAGCGACAGGGGAAACATTCCGATCACTAATGTATGGTTGTCGTATACACGAATCAACAATTTCACGCTTCGTACCTGCAGTATGTAATGCGATCATTACAGTTTTAACTGAAAAGTATATTAATGTAAGCACATCCAAATTTATCATAGTTTCCCTTTTCATATTCTGTTACATGATTAGATGCCAAGAATCGTAGAAGATTGGGAGAAGATTGCCGCAGAATTTGATGAGTTGTGGCAATTTCCGCACTGCCTGGGAGCCTTAGATGGGAGACACATACAATTTAGAGCACCGATTTCTCAAGGAAGTTATTTTTATAATTATAAGGGAAATAATAGCATTGTACTGTTAGCACTAGTAGATGCTAATTACATATTTCGATATGTAAACATTGGAGTGAATGGTAGAATTAGTGATGGGGGAGTATTTAATCAAAGTTCGTTGGGAATTGCATTAAAAGACTGTCCAGAAACTTTAAATATTCCTCAACCGACTTATTTACCAGGTCAAGATGTATTAACACCTTATGTGATTATCGCAGATGATGCATTTCCTAGTTTGACTAATCTCATAAAACCCTATTCTCATAAAAAATTATCTTTTGAAGATCGTGTTTATAACTACCGGGTTTCTCGGGCACGGAGAATGGTTGAAAGCTCATTCGGTATATTGGCCAATAGATTTAGAGTTTTATTGCAACCCATCAATTTAAATGCGGAAAAAGTTGAAATAATTACACTAACCTGTGTATTGTTGCACAATTATCTAGCAACAAACAATAAAAAGTATTATCTTAACTTAGAAGATTCCGATAAAGATACATTACAAAATATTGAACGACAAACAGGTAACAGATCGTCCACACAAGCACGTGAAGTTCGTGATAACTTTAGACACTTTTTTAACTCGAACGTAGGGAGTGTACCATGGCAAAATGAATGTGTTATGAAAGGTAATTATTGAAATCCATTGTAATTTATTTTGTATTAAAACAATTTACAGGAAAAAATAAAAAACCAAGTTTTACTTATGGCTACACCTTCTTATTCCGTCATATAAACATCTAGTGATTGTTTCTTCAACTTCTAAACGAATGTCATCATTAGATATTTGTTTCAATTTTGTCACAATAAACTGTGAGAAAGCAATATCATTCTCATTATGAACACTACTGGATGTTTTTGTGTTATTACTTTGCTTGGATATAAGGTTACTAATATTTTTTAATGTATTTGATGCCTCAGCAACAACAGCGTCGGAACTAGCAAGTTTCCTCTTTTGTGAATGTTTACTCCTTTGTACATGTTTGTAAACAGAACTCCTGTCTTCAGAAACATCACTTTCAACAATTATTGGAGGCTGCGACAAATCCATATCATTTTGTGTTTCCTCATTAAATGCAACTAGCTCTAGTGAACCATCCTCACCCTCACGTAAAAACGATACTTTGCCTGATTGTATCAAAAACAACCTGTTAGTTATAGGAGATTTCAATCTTAAAATATGTGGATCTGGATATAAGTTATTAACTGGGGATAACTTATGCATACAATTACACAATTTTATAAATTTAAATAATTTACAAAGCAGAAATAACATACTAAACAGCTATGGTAAAACCTTAGACTTAGTTCTTACAAATATTGCTGAATTATCTGTCAGCTGCGCTCATCCATCTGATTTATTAGTAGGTTTAGATCATTACCATCCTGCTCTTTTGTTGCATGGTGATCTGATTATTCCACTCAACAGAACACAACTGTTGCCTGACCGTATGTACAATTTTGCCAAAGCAGACTTCTTAAGCATTTATTATGCATTAAGAGATACTGACTGGTCTAATGTAAGTGTCGCTGTTGATGTCAACGATTCGGTTAATGTTTTCTATGACCTTCTGTACAAAATATTGGACAAATTCTGCCCCAAGAAAAGAGTTAGGAGTGGTTCATCCTATCCAGTCTGGTTTTCGACAAATATAGTGGCATCTATTAGGCTTAAACATAAGCTGCATAAAAAATACAAAAGACTACGTTCACTAAATGATCCATGTGCATCGGATAGTTATGTGCAGTTCTGTAATTTACGTTCATCAGTAAAAAAGGATATATCCTCAGCATACAGGCAATATCTTATTGGCATTGAAAATGAAATTGGGCGTGACCCTAATCGCTTTTGGTCCTACGTGAAGCACTGCAGGAGGCAAACTTCCCAGGTGTATGAAGTTGAGTTTAATGGTGTTGTTGCGTCAACGGGTTCTGAAATATCAAATAATTTTGCTAACTTTTTTGAGTCTGTTTACCTGCCATCTCCATCAAACAAGGATTATTATGACAGCCTTCATAATAACAGTAACCTAGTACACACAGATGTGATTACGTTGAAGGAAGTTGACCAGGGCACAGTCCTAAAAGCTATGAAAGATTTGAAATCTAAAAAATCAATGGGTCCTGATCTCATTCCACAGTATTTTTTCAAAGGACACTCAGAACTGTTGAGTAAACCACTGTGTATCATAATTAACAAATGCCTTAAGTCGAATACCTTTCCTGATGTATGGAAGACCACCAAGGTAACGCCTATATTTAAGAAAGGGAATAGAAATTCCGCGTGTAATTATAGGCCGATTTCTATACTTTCAACACCTGCGAAAATTTTTGAAATTGTCTTGAGAAAAGAGGTTTTCTCACATACGTTGCGACATATCTCCGATAGCCAACATGGATTCATCTCGGGTAGATCTACTGTCACCAACTTGGTCAACTTCACGCAATTTGTTTCCAGCAGTATGAACCAAGGTATTAGCGTTGACACCATCTTCACGGATCTGGCGAAGGCCTTTGATAGATGTGACCATTCTATCATTATATCTAAGTTAAAATATTATGGCTTATCTTTGGATTTGCTACACCTCTTCAAATCCTATTTTACAAATCGGAGTCAATACGTGTGGTTCCAGGGATTTACATCTAGGCAGTATATCGCCACGTCGGGAGTCCCACAGGGCTCTGTGTTGGGTCCCGTTATCTTCAATCTATTAATAAATGATGTCGTTAACGTGGTAAAGAATTCCAATATTCTGTTATATGCAGATGATTTAAAGTTATTTAAAGCCATTGCTGACGTAAATGATTGTCGAGAGCTACAAAATGATTTAGATGCTGTAAATGTTTGGTTGGAGCATAATAAATTGTCTTTCAACGTTTCCAAATGCTCAGTTCTTACCTTCACAAAAAAGATAGCTCCTATAACGTATGAATATTCCATGAACGGGGAAGAGCTACGACGCATTTTGGAAATAAAGGACTTAGGTGTAATACTGGACCACAGGTTAACTTTCTCTGCACACGTAGAAAACAGTGTAGGCAAAGCATACCGAAACTTAGGATTTATCTTAAGGCAAGCTGCCAACTTTTCTAAAGAACACACTTTAAAGTCTTTATTTTCTACCATTGTTAGACCACACTTGGATTATGCATGTATTGTCTGGAAGCCTCATTCCTTCACCCATAGGAACAGCCTAGAAAAGGTACAAAAGAAGTTTCTAAGGTATCTCAACTATAAACGTAGCGGACAATACTCATATCTCATACCTTACGCTGAACTGCTGTCATCCTTTAATATGGAATGTGTTAAAAAGAGGCATGAACTTTCCCAATTGAATTATTTGCACAAGTTACTCCATGGGAATATTGCTAACCCCGAAAATCTGGCGCAAATTAATTTTCATGTTTCACCTTTTCTTCGTCGTACCCATACACTGTTTTATATACCTTACTTACGCACAAACTTACTTATTTTTTCGCCATTGATAGATATGCAGCGACTATACAATCAAATCTGTACCTTGTCTGGCAAGGTTGACATTTTTCGTTATAATCTCTCAACGTTTATATCACATTGTAAGTCACTTCTTTAAACATAAAACTTCATTGCGTCTTACCATGCCCATACCTCCATGCACTTCTTCGTCATTTATGCTATTCATACACACACATTCACAAACTTGTACTAAATTTTTACAATTATTTTTGTTTATTTAATATTAAATTGAGTTAGAATATTTATTCTCTGTTTTTCATATACTTGTTCTGTTTACTTATATTCACTTCATGTTTGTTCGTCTTAATGTTATTGTTTAAACTGCTTTACTGTAATTGGGTACATGTAACCTGTTGTAAAGCATGTAAATAAATAAATAAATAAATAAATAAGATGTAATCATCTACCGTTTCCTAAATAAGTTTCAATACAGTGACGGGAATCATATCGTATGGTATACACTTACATTACGTTCGGTTTCTTCTACCCCTTGGCTCACACTTTCGGTTAATTGGAACGAGTCAATCGACCGACGAGTGTCAATGTGGTCCAAAAGGAACTTTTAACTTTTCATAATACCACAATTTGGGCGTGTATATCTAAAAACGTACACATGAAAAAATAATTCGTGTTAAAACCAAGCTTTACGTCATCTTCGTTTCCTGCTCCAGACCGAAAACTTTGTAAATGCTTTTTGTGCTCTGCTGCAAATGTTGTTTTTAGTCCATTGAACTTTGTTTTAATTTCATTTATTGTTATATGTGGTTTTATTGATATCAAGGCAGCTTCAACATCTTCCAGTGCTTTCTGCCGTAAATGTTTATTGGTATATTGTTTACTTTTGACTGCGTACAAACAGGGGTGCTTCTTATATTCTTCTATTAGCACACAAACTTCGCGCTGCGACCATGCCATTTTAAATATTCGTCCTACAGCTGCATAATACCCTAACCTAACTTTATTGTTATATTAACTCGACGTTCTGCGCATTTATTGGCGCAGAAAATGTAAGATTTCTCATAAAATATAGAACTGATCCTATAAATTTTTATATTTTGTACAAAAAATTGTAACAATTTTATGAGTCGTGTATGCAGCGTTACAATTTCATTAAAATAATAATTTTTCATTACATTTTACTAAAATTATTGTAACGTGTCAAACGAGCCTTATGGAGGCAGCCGAAATACGCCAATTTTCAACTGGCACTTGAACCCGAACGGTTCATCGAGGAAAAAAACTAAATAATTGAATCTGTAGGAAATTTTATGTACTTTCATTTTGAATAGGAGGGTTATTTTCAAAAAGTTGATAGTTTTTCAAGTTGTAAGCAAAAAACTGCAAAAAAAAAGATCTTTTTCAACTTTTTTTGTATTTTTTTCAATGTTGCGTCACGAAATTTTGTTGGCAAACCTCAGATTCGGATTCAGCACCCCAAAAAACATATAGAATCAAAGAAATCAAAACTACCCCAACTTTCCTGGTAAAAATATAATTTAACTGGATAATACCTAATGGGGATTTACGATAATTCAACCGGTTTAAAAATCACCATAGAAACAATTGTCTCAATAATTGTAACCATAGCAAAATCTACCAACCCGGTTAAACCGGTTGATTATCGTAAATACCTAATATTGTTGATTTTTGAACGATGTTTGGTCATATATCCCCTAACCACGCTAAAACATAACAACTGCGTGTTCTGGTTCGCAGTTCAACTGACAGAAAGAGCGCCAATTTTAAATGTGAGGCGTATATACCCTTGGGGCATCTATATACTAACTTTATCCTAATCTTGATTTGGTTTCCGTTGCGGTATTTTCTTCCAAATACCATTAAACTATTTGATTGATCCCGTATTTGCAGTCCAACTAACTAGAAAAAGGCAGAGAATTTTCAATCTTTACTCGTAATTCAACATTAAAAATTAGCCTTCCTGTATTAAGACCGCAGTAGTGGAATTAATAAATGGACAAATAATTCTTTGTAAAGTGCCTTTCCCCAACAAGGATTATTTTTCGATTTCCGGACACAAAAAGTTAAGGCGAATGGAAATGTTTTAATTTTAAACTTTAATGCCTTCGATACTTTTATAGCGTACTCTATATGCAAAGCAAAAGCACGCGTTATCACCGCCTCGTATGCAGTAGGTCTTTATGCTATTACAAAATGTATGAACTAAACATGAGCATTCAATATTCATAAATATGCAACAATGTAGGTACATATTGTGAAATTGTCAAGATGATTACACACGTAATGGAAACGCAGTGATCAATATTTCTTGTTAAAGCAAAGTTCTC